TCAGCTTTATTTTCTCTTTGAAGTACGACTCTAATGTGCTGTTACAACTTTGTCTGCCGTCTTCTTTGTGTACTTTCTAAATTTTACTAATGCAGTTTTTGGGGATTTTGCTAGACTGTGTAATCTCAGTGATAAGAAAGATAAAAGTGGATTCTAGGTTGCCTGGAAAGTTGCAGTGAAACAATGAATGGATATGGCTTTTCTGTAAATATTGACTGTGTATGTACCTTTGTAGAAGGAACATTAAAACCCTAAGACCTTTTTAAGCCTGCCTCAGCTCTGAATACTGACACAGAGACTTATATTTATTTCTTATAGCTTTAGGCCTTGCCTAACTTGTTCCCAACTAGCTCCTATAACCCTGGTTATAATATATTTTATTTATATATCAATTATATAATCAATAGTTTATATTAATATGTAGTATAAATGTGATAAATTTGTTAATATAAACCTATGCTTATATTAATCTATCTTCTGCCGCATGGTTTGTTACTGCTTCTTATGTCCGACTTCCTCCATGTCTCGTAGGCAAATCTTTTCATGTCTCTTTCTTCCCAGAGTTTCTATCTCTGCCCGGAAGTCCTGCCTCTCCCCTGCCTTTGCTATTAGCTGTTCAGCTCTTTATTAAACCAGTCAAAAGGTGAAGGTAGTGTATGTTTGCAAAACATTGAGACAAGTGATGTTCTCTGTTGGTACAGAAATCAGCATTTGAACAATACAAAGACAATCTTTATACAGTGGACAAAAAGATCGTCCCAACAGAACACTGAATCTAGATGTTTTATGCATATTTGTGGCCCCAGTCCTGGGCTGTGGAGGCTTCCTAGTGCTGTGCAGTTTGGGAGTCTTGAGCATGAACCCAGCCTGGGCTACGTAGCAAGATCTGTTGAAAAAAACAAAACCAAAACCAAAACCAAACCAAACCAAAACAACAAAAAGCAAGAGAGAAAAAGGACTCAGTGAAATTTTGTCTTAATGAAAATACATATGAGCATAAATAATTCTTAATGTTAATATGCAATAAAAATAATTTCTTAAAGAATCTATGTTACACTAGTGGTTCATGTACTAAAAGTAAATCTATAGTTAGGTACTGAACCAATACCTAGTAATATATGAGATAATTGTCTCTTTCAAAAATAATCTGGCTTACTTTGATAGTCTTGGGAGTGATGTCAGAATACTTTCTATAATCTTTAGCCTTTGTTCCTGAATATGAGATAACTCATTATTCATTTTGGTCCTGGGGTCTGAACCTAGGGCCTTGCACATGCTAGGAAAGTGCTCTATCACTGATGTGTATGTGTTCTTAGCCCTGCTCATTTCTTCCTGTGAGTAACACATAATAGAAGGATGTATTGTTTGGAATGATTAGGATTGAGGCCAAAAACTGTACTTCAGCAACTTGTTTCAGAACCCAAGTATTAATATATCTAAGAGAATCCCTGAATGGTAATTTTAAATAACTTTTTCTTATTTCTAGATATAGATGTTTTTCAAATGAGCAAATTGTAGTAAATTGTATCCTCTAAAGCCTTTTTGTTTTTGATCTTTTAAATTTGTTGATATACATGAGTACACAGTATTTAAAAAAAAGTCTATTATCCATCCATCTATCTATCCATCTCTGTCTCTGTCATCTGTCTGTCTGCTTGTACCGTGTGGGAGTCATGCATTTGCAGTTTCTGTGGAGGCTAGAAGATGCATTGGATCCTGGAACAGCCGTTTCAGCTGATTGTGAGCCGCCGTGTGGGCACTGGGTGTTGAACCCATGTCCTTTGGAAGAGCAAGCTAGTGTTCTTAAGCACTGAGCTATCTCTAAGCTCTTACAATATATTTTTTAATTGGTAGTCTGTTTAAAGTAGAAAATTTAGATCATAAGATAGACACATCCATTTATATGTGTGTATCTTAAGTAAGTATATCACTACTTTAGAAATATATATTTTGTGTGAACATCAATTCTTCACTTCTGAGTATCAAGAGAAATACAGTGTTTGTCTTCTCATGAAAATGTGTTAACATAAACCAGTTTTCTTGAATTATGCATGCACATTAGAGTTCAGTTTGTGGATTTGGGGGCTCAGTAAGACAGATATATTTATTTATATGTTTCTCATGTTTTAATTTCTTTAAATTTTTTTATAGATTTTTAAATTTTATTTTGTGTATGTGATTGTTTTGCCTGCATTTATGTATATATAATAGGTGCCTGGTTTCTAGGGAGTTCAGAAGAGGGTGCTGGCTCCCCTGGTACCGAAGGTTGCAGATGGTAATGAGCTATTCTCTGGATGCTGAGAATTGAGCCCTGGTTCTCTGCCAGAACAAGTGCTCTAAACCTTTGAGCTATCTCTCCAGCCTATCTTAATTTCTTTTTTTGAGCCTGATTCTGAGGCATATAGCTGAGAATGGCCTGGAACTCCAGAATCTCCTGCTCCTGCAGTACTTCTGAGGGCTAGTGCTGCATATTACTACCCCTTACATTTGGCCTAAAATACCCTAACATGTATGTGCGTCCTCATTTTCTGAGAGAATGATACAGTCTTTGTCTAAATTAGTTTTTTGTTAAATACCTATTGTTAAATACTGGCCCCAAACCTTAAAGATGATGGATTGTGTATCTTCTGTAATGTGTTTGTAGACAGTGTCATAATTGCTTCTTACTTGACATTTTCTCATGTTGATTTAAATTGCTTTTGGAACATGGCCCAGAACATTTCTTATTTTTTGCAAGAAATCTAATTTCTTCCTATAGCATAGGAATTACTTAACTACTTTTAAAAAGCATGTGCAAGAGAGCCTTGGGAGCTAAGCATTCCTGTGGCTTTTGAACCTGCTGGGTTAGTATTTGGTTCATCAGTTCTTTTCTCCAGAGTAAGGCTGATAGATACATTTCTTAGTGAAGCTGAGTTTCTGCTCTTTTGTTTCTGTTCTTTTTGTTTATCCGGCCACATCTATTTTCACATGTAACAAAGGCCCAAACAGTCAATCCATCACCTGTCTTAGGGCCAGCTGTAATAATTATTCTAGGAACAGCAGTGAATACTATGGCCACCCTTCCAGAAGCTCCTTTGATACTCACCATTGCTCTTTTTCCTGTTTTTTGTGCTCTTTTTGTGCTTGTATCAACTTTCCTGTTTTTCCTCACCTTTACTAAGTACACACAGTAAACATTTATTATGTGAGCTTCTATCTCCTTGTTTAATGTTTCTTCCATCTCCCTATTTGAGTGGTTTACATGTTACTCACTACTCTTTAAGTAGGTAGCTGGGTGGTTCATTGTTTTCCTCTGTTTTCAGTGTTATATCCTGAATGTTCTTCCACATCCCTGTCCCCAAGAACTCACTGTGTAACCACAGTTGACCTTAATAATCTTCTCATCATCTTGCTTTTATCTTTTATCTGCTTGGATTGCAAGCCTCTGCTGTTATTACAGATTTCTGTGCTAGGGCTTTGTGTCTGCCAAGCAAACACTCTGCCAACCGAGCTGTACCCTAACACTACCCTTTCTCACATCAAATACAGTGTGGCTGAACTTGAATTGCTTCTGACAGGATCTTGCTATGTAACCTAGAGCAGGCCTTTTGATCCTCCTACCTGTATCCCCTAGACTTTTTTATGTGATGTGCACATGTGTGTTTATGTGATGTATGTGGAGAATTTTTTTTTTTTAGACAGCATTTCTCACTGCAGTGTGGAGCTCACTGATTGGTCTAGCTTGGGTGGCTAGTTAGCCCCAGGGTTCCACCTGTTTCTGCCTTCCTCACACTGGGGTTTCAATATGTGCCTTAACACTTGCTCTTCTATAGGGTACTATATTAGTAACTTTTCCATTACTGTAATAAAGACCAAACAACTTGTGGACGAAAGTTATCTTACAGGTTTAGAGGCCACGAAACAGGACAGGAGGCAGCTAGAGCAGCTCCTGAGAGCTTATATCTTGAGCCTCAAGCAGAGGCAGAGAGAGCAACAGGCCTGGACACAGGATTTGAAACTTCAAAGCCCATCTGCAGTGACACACCTCCTTTAATAAGGCCACACCTTCTCATCCTTTCGTAACAGTTCCACCAACTGGAGACCAAGCATTCAAACATGAACCTGTGGGGGTCTGTTCTCATTCAGGTCACCACCGGTACTATAGATCAAACAGCAAGCACTTCATTGAGTGAGTGGTTTCCTCAGTCATATTTTTTAAGAGAGACAAGTTTCACTGTCTTCCCTCCCCATCCCCCCAAGCAGGGTCTTATTATGTAGCCTAGTTGTTCTAGAACTTGCTCTGTAGATCAGGCTGGCCTTGAACTCAGTGGTCCCCATGGCCAAGTTCTGGGATTACAAGTTGTGAGCGCCACGCCTGGGGTAGAGCTCCATCCTTGACTTGCAGATAGCATGTGTGTAACTTGATTTCTGAAGAATGACTACTTTGTTAGGTGTTTAAATTTCTCCCTATATTGGTTGGGATAAAGGCTAATGAAAATTCTTGTAGCTGTGTTCAAAATGTTTTCATTTTCTAGTTATGAATAAGAATTCTGACATTCTGATATTTTCCTGTATCATAATATTAATTCAAGGAAAAGAAGTAACCTGTGCAGTTGGTATGGTAGAAAGAGCATTGAATAATTTGAGATCTGTGTTCTCTCACCTTTGATCTGGGAAGAGTGATACTGGTTTGTAAAACACCATATGTGTAGTGTGTATGCAGTTTCAAACTTTGAAATTTAATCAGATCAAAAGTAGAGAAACACTTTTAACATACATCATATATGTATTCTTGACATCACATTATCTTCATAAAAATAAGACTTCCATATTTTTATGTTTCCTACAGAAAGTAAAAGCAAAAAGAAAAAAAAGGTGTGGTGTTTTAGTTTGTATGATCAAGAGAGGGCTGTAGTAATCATTCCATGAAAAGGTCAGTCTAGGCAAACAAGTTCTGATGTTCTAAAGAGCCTGTTCTTGACTCTGTGCATTCATACTACCTTTTAAATGTTTTATTACAGTTACATGATGTTGATTGATGGGACAAATGAAGTTTTTATGATTGACAGAGATAATTCAGTATTTCATGTTTCAAATCTGGAATTTCCATTTCGTAAAGATCTCCGCATGCATTTATCAAATACCCTTTTGGATGGAGTAAGTAAATTACTTATATGTATTTTTTAAAAATTAAACAATATACTCATTGTTAGCATGTCTAATTTAGATTCAAATAGAATTTTTATTTAAATGTTGAGTTTTATTTCTTGTCTGTACTTGCACTGAATAAGTTCCCTTTTAATGGTGGGTCTAGCTGAGAAGGGTAGTCATCTGTCGTCCCAGCACTGGGGATGGCAAAAGCAGAAAGATTGCAGTGTGCTCACGGCCTTCCAGGCCTAACAAAGTGAGATCCTGTCTCAAAGACAAAGCAAGCAAACACCAGTTACTTCACTTTGAGCAAAAACCACATTTTCCAGGTATTTTCTTTAGTAGAGAAAATTGTTTGTGATATGGGAAATGAGTTAAATAAATCCTGTATTGATCATAAGGGAATAAAATTAAACCTTTGTTTTTATTATTTAAAAGGAGTTATTTATTTTAATAATTATGAAGTGGCATTTTACTTTCTTCCCTGATAATACCTTTTCCCTATTCAGTTCTAACAAAACCTGGCTCTTTTAAGTAAAAATGAAAGTAATGCAGAACACTACAAAATATCTGACAAAAGCTGAGCTTGGTGGCACCGCTTTAATCTTGACATTTGGGAGGCTGAGACAGGAGTATATAGCAAGTACAAGGCCAGCCTGGGCTCAAAACTCCTGGCTTCCAAGATTGTGTCTCAAAAAGTAAAAAACAAATCAAACTGAACTATCAAAGAAAAAGCAGTAAAAGATAACTGAAATTCCTGATGTTGTAATAATTGTTTGCCTATGTGAAGGGCTGGAACTTTCTCAGTACAAGGTGGTCAGTGTTGAAAACTACAGCACGTTGATAACATCATTACCGAGAACTGAGTTTCCGCTTTATTTTTGAACAGGAATTCAGTCTTCTACAGACTGAGTTCCAGAGCCCTCAGCTTCTGCGCTCAAGTGCTGTGCTGCCACAGCTGGCTGCAGAGCATAGATCCTTTTTTAACATATTTTTATTACCATTTATTACAGTTTATTCAGTTTGTATCCTGGCTGTGTCCTCCTCCCATTTCCACCCTCCCTCCCTCTTCTCTTCCAATGCCCCTCTCCTAGTCCACTGATACGGAGGTCCTCCTCCCCTTTCACCTGACCCTAGCCTATCAGGTCTCATCAGGACTGGCTGCATTGTCTTCCTCTGTGTCCTGGCAAGGGTGTACCCCCCAGGGGGAGGTGATCAGAGAACCAGCCATTGAGTTCATGCCAGAGAAAGCCTGTGCTCCCCTTACTATTTACTAGGGAAGTATAGATTCTTAACCAGTTTGTTATAAGCATTAGGGAAGCTAAGGGCCTACTGTAGTCTGAGTATTCACAGAGCCTTTAGTTTGGCTGAGAGAGGAGTGCCCTGATCAAGTTATGTGCACATAGAGACCTGTCCTTGTTCCTCATTTTCATAAAGAACTGAATGCATGCTTTTAAAAGTGATTTTTCACTTAGCAGTTTTTTTTTTTTTTGCACTTATTATTTGATGTAAATGTCTGAATGGTACACCTGTCTGTAGAAATACCATAATTTTGAAATTCCAAATTGTTTTTGGATTTCTTGGGACTGGATTCACAGGCAATTGTGAGCTACCATGTTGAGTGCTGAGGGACAAACCTAGGCTCTTCTGAAAGGACAGTCTGTGCTCTTAAGTACTGAATCTTCTTTTCAGCCACTGCAAACTGTTTTGATGAAAGAAATCAGGTTTAAAAATTACTTAAAAGGGCTGGGCGTGGTAGCGCATGCTCTTAATCCCAGCACTGGGGAGGCAGAGGCAGGTGTTATCACTGTCTGGTCTAAGAAGCCAGTCCAGGACAGCCAAGGCTACACAGGGAAACTCTGTCTTCAAAAACACCAAGTAAATAAGTAAATAAATAAAGATGGCTAAGTGGGTCTGTCTGGTCACCTGAGTTCCATCCCTCTAACCTATGTAATATGGAAGGAAAGAACCTACTCCACAAAGCTGTCCTCTGATCAACTCACACATTTTATGGCACCCGAGCCCTCAGCCATATCGTGTGCATACACGGTGGTGATAAATTACAAAAACAAAATGTGAAATAAAAAATTACTTGTTAGGTAAAGAACTAATAAAGGGTAACTTGAGAAAATTCTAGGTTTAAATTGAAAAAATATTCATATAAATTTTTTGATTGGTTTGTATTTTTTAATAGTAGGCTCTCCTATGGTAATAATTAAGTCTTGTTAATATTTCAGTATATTTGTACATTATCTGACCAGCAGCAGCAGCAGTAACAAAGAATATGATCATTTCCAGCTAGATATGTTGTAAACCTGCAATTCTAGTGCTCAGCAAGTTGAGACAGGAGAATGCTAAGTTCAAGACCAGCCTGGACTACACGGTGAACCCGTTCCCAAAGATCACAGCCGTGGTTACTGTTGAGATTGCTCAGTGGATAAAGGCTCTCGCTGCCAAGTCACTGAAGACTTGTCCCAGAGAGCCACCTGGTTGGAGGGCACCGACTCCTAGCAATTTGTCTCCTGACCTCTTTACATGCTACAGCATGCATAGAAATTTTCTCACACATAAGTGAATATAAACACACACACAATACAGTAAAGCAAAAACAAGCATCTCTTTTCCTACAGTTGCTTCTATATGTCATGATTTGCAATATACGGAAGTGAAACTCTGACCAAATGATTTTAATTAGACAAGTGGAAAATAACGATGTAATTTCTTTGGCTAGTTCTCTTTTGGTGGACATTGCAATTGTCCTTTTCTTTTTTTAGATTTTTTCTAAACATTACTTAAATGTATATCCTATGTATTAAAAATATAGTTTTATGCTGAAGATTACTTTTTTATAGTATTTATTTATGTGTTCATTTGTGTATGTGTACATTCCATGACTTGTGAGTGGAAGGCAGAGGACAAGTTGGTGTTGGCTAACTTCCTCCACATGGGTCTTGGAGATTGAATTCGGGTTGTCCATTTTAGTGCTAGGCATTGTCACCTGTAAACACTGGGTTTTGATTTGTTATTTTTTCACCACTGAGGAACAGAATGACTTCTCTGTTCTAAGGAACAGTATGTATAGCGACTCCAGGTGCTTCGCTGGCTTCATCAGTTGTTCCATCAAGGACCTGACACAGTTTGTCAGTTTTGTCCTTTGTGGTGAGGTGGTAAATACTGGGACATTGTGTAAGGTGGTTTTGTCTGGTGCCTAATCTTTATTTTTATGAGGCTTACCACCTCACTCCGTTGTGAGTTACTACTTTGCTTCTAAGTGCTCCTGTTTGGGTCTTTTCTAGTTTTCCTTTTAGTGTTCATCTCTTTCCTGTTGGCTTATGAGGTCTTTTGTTTTATTGGGGCATACTTTATGTTTAATTTTTTGTTGTTGTTTTCATTTCATGCCTCTAGCACTTGTATAGTACCTTCCTGAGCTCTGCAGGTTAGGTAGCAGGCAAGAAGCTTCCAGCCCAGCTGAGCTTGAGTTTTCTCTGTCCTATTGCCAGACTGTGTTTTGTATTTTGGGCTGTTACTAAACATACAAACAAACAAAATCACTTGCTTGTTTGTCTATTATTACTCTTTGTTGTTGTTAATACATTTTTCTTTGGGCTTTTTAAACCAATATTTAAAGGAAAACACTTTTTTCCCCTGGATCATTTTATCACATAATTTGTAAGGGGAATTACTTGTCTGCTATCCAGACTTAAAAATTCACTTTTTCTAGCCACAGTTTTTGAAAAGAAGTATTAACTGAAATCTTGGGTGCCACCTTGTTATTGCATCAGGCATTCACATGCAGATGTGTAAGTAAACACATTTTGGTCTTCGGTTAAAATAATAGACTTGATACTGGGGCTGTCCATCAGGTGGCAGAGTACTTAGCTGTCATGAGTAAAACCTGGATTCCATCCAAAGTGCTGTGTGACGAGGGCCTGGTAGCACACACTTGTAAGCATAGCACTGAGGAGGTGTTGGCTTTGAACATTACTTTCCTGCCTCTGCCTCCCTGGCACTGGGATTGCTGTTGTTCCAAGCCTTATGCAGAATTTCTTTTGACCTTTTATGACTATGGTAGATTCGAAGTGATCTTTGTATGAAAAAATTAAAAAAGTCATGTAGGAAATTCAGTCTATAATAAGACTAAAGTGATTAGCATATTATAAAATTTTGTACAGTGATTAAAGTTATTTATCAAAATGGTGTTGCATTTCAGAATTTCAAATTCTGTTTCTTACATCTAAATACTGCTAGTAATCCAAACACAAAGCAGAATATGCTATAGCCATTCAGCTATAAAAAGCTTAGAAATAGTTGTAATGGTCAAGTATATAAATCCAACACTTTTAAGGTTGAGGCAAGAGGATTGCCAAGAGTTCCAGGCTAGTCTTGGCTACCTCATGAGCTGTAGGCTGGGCAGGGGCTACATAGTAAGAACCTGCCTCCAACAAAACTATAAATTCTCAGTCTAAAACACAAGGAGGTAACATAGATTATTTCAGTATATATTATAAATACATAATAACGCTTTTTGACATGCTGAAAACTTACCGATTTTATAAGTGTGCTCCCTGACATCTTATCAAGACATATACTGAAGATTTATACTCTTCTCTATATTATATTCTAGTCAAATTAAAGAAATTGCTATTAAAATTAATCTTTTTTTTTCTTCAAGGAAATGATCATTGATAAGGTAAATGGACAGGCTGTTCCAAGATATTTGATATATGACATAATTAAATTCAACGTAAGTACCTCTTATTATTTATAAAATTGTTATAATTGTCACTGAGATAATTTGTATACTTATATATATATTAATACTTTTTGGTGGTTCTAGAGATTGAATTCATGGATTCACATAGGCTACACAAGTGCTTTGCCATTGAGCTACACCTCCAGTAGTAAGATTACAAGTGTTTTTAGTGAACAGAAAAAGTGTTCAGTCAGATGGTGACACATGCCTGGAGGAGGGGACAGGAGGGATAAGGAGCGTGAGGCCACCCTCATGAAACTCTGTCTCGAAAAAACAAAAATCATGTAGTCATTTACTTAAGCCACATGGAAAAAATTTAGGAATTTGGAATTAAAGTTTTTAAGATTTGAAGATGTATAGCAGTGTTTTTTTAATTTTAATTTTTATCATTTATTTATTTATGTTATGTACATTGATGTTTTGCCTGCATGTATGTTGATCCTTTGGAATTACAGATAGATGTAAGCTGCCATGTGGGAATTGAATCCAGGTCCTCTGGAAGAGCAGCCAGTGCTCTTAACCACTGAGCCATCACTCCAGCCCAGCAGTATTTTAAAAGCTATTTTTAGGGGGAATGTATTTTACTAAAATAAACTGTCCTATTAAAATTCAGGATTACAAAGTTACTGATGAGCATTTTTTTCTGAATATTTTCATTGTATATAATATAAATTTTTGGTTGAATTTTTATAATTCAAACTAAAGCTTCCAATTAAGAACTTGAGAGGAAACATCAGCTTTTCATTTTGTCCCTCCCTCCTTCCTTTCCTCCCCTCTCCCTTCCTCCCCCTCCCTCCTTCCTTTTCTTTATTTTTTTGTGAGTTGAGTGTTTTGCCTGAATGAATGAGTGAGCTCCCCTTGTGTGCCTGCTCATGGAGGCCAGAAGGTGGCATCATATTCCCTGGAACTGGGTACTGGGAACTACACCTGCCTCTGCACGAGCCACAGTACTTTTAACCACTGAGCCATTTCATTTCTCCAACCAGTTCTTGTTTTTTTGGTTACTATTTATAGTCCTTAAAACTGGTACTTTGCGAAATCAGCAATTCTTACCAAGTGATGTTTCTTGATCTACAACTATCCTCTCAGACCATGGGAGTGCCTCTGTTTTCTTGTTGAGTGCAGCAGGACTGTGTTCTTTTAACTACGATTTTGAGCTACACTTAAATATATGGTCAGTCAGGGTCTTCCCCACTCTTCTGGAAGAGACACTATGACGGTGGGAACTCCTTAAAGGGAGTTTAATTGGGGCTTGCTTAACAGTTTCACAAGTTAGGTTTATTTTCATCATGGCAGGAAAAGAGAGAGGGAGAAGAAAAAGAGAGAGAGCCAGGAGGGTAGAGATCTAGAGAGAAAAATAAGGAGAGAGAGACAGAGAGAGACAGCATTGGGCCTGGTGTTTCAAAAGCATTGGGCTTTTGAAACGTCAAAGCCACCACCATTGACACCCTTGCTCCAAGAAGGCCACATCTCCTAATCCTTTCAAATAGTACCTTTCCCTGATGACTCAGCTGTCAAATACATGAGCCTGTGGGGGCTATTCTTATTAAAACCACTATAGTTGTTTTTTTTTTTTTTTTTTGGCCTAGGAACTCACTTTTAGCTAATAGCTTCGAGTATTTGAAAAAAATAAGAAAACTTACATCATGCAGAAATGTACAGAATATATGAGTATCTCATTTATTCATTTATTATTATATGTATGTGAGTGCATGCCTTAACTTATGTATAGAGACTTGAGGACCACTTTCAAGAGTTGGTTTTCTGCTTCTACATGTGGGACCCAGGGATCAAGTACAGGTTTTTAGGCTTGGTGGCAGGTACTTTTTTTTTTTTTTTTTTTTGAGACAGGGTTAATATGAATAGCCTTGGCTGTTATGAACTCACTTTGTAGACCAGGCTGGCCTCAAACTCACAGAGATCCATCTGCCTCTTTCCCCGAGTGCTGGGATTATAGATGTATGCCACAGCGCCCAGCGGGTGGCAGGTACTTTTCCTGCTCAACCATTTTCCTGGCTTCAAACTTGCTAAACCTTAGTAATATTTCTCTCTCTCTTGTGTGTGTGTTGTGTGTGCACGCGTGCATGCGGGTGTGTGTGTGCTCCCTTGCTTGTCTCTGCATGCCTGTGTGGAGGTCAGGGGTCATTGTCAGGTATGTTCTGTTTCTCTCCATCTTATTTTTTGGTACAGTCTCTTACTGAACCCAGGGCTCCTTGCTTTGGCTGCGTAACCTGGGCAGAGAGCCCTTGGGTCTGCTTGCCTCAACATCTAGTTTCCAGGCTATGCAGTGCCTTGCATTGCTTTTATTGTGGGTGCTGGGCAACGTGCTCTTTATCTACTGAGTCATCTCCCTAACCCTACACTTTTGTTTTTTTAAGTAAATACTTACAAATCCAAGAGCAAACTCGTGTACTGCTGATCTTATTCTCAGTTCTCTTTCCAGGAGAGCCCTCTGCTGTGAATTTAGTATTTATTGCTCTCTTGGATGTTTTTAAAAACATTTTCCTCACCTTTGTTTGTATCTCCAGATGCAGGAAGCATACTTTTGCCAGGTTTCTAGAGTTAGTTGCGTACTCTGTATGACCAGTTTTTGTGTTTTGCATTGTGTTCTTGAGATTTACTGCTTCGTGTGGAGAGTTTACCATTCACTTGAAGATTTTCTGGGCTTTGTATTCTATAATAGAATGGATTCTTTCTTTGATATGCAGCAGAGTTTCTGCTCTCTGCTTTTCATTGTATACATATATAAGTCTCTCTAGGACCGTTCTCACTGTTGGGATCTATTCTCTCAGGATTTTAAAAAACTTTCATTATTATTATTATTATTACCATTTATTACAATTTATTCCATTTGTATCCTGGCTGTGGTCCCTCTCTCCATCTTCTCCCCCATGCCCCTCCCCTAGTTCACTGATAGGTCCTCCTCCCCTTCTGTCAGACTCTAGCCTATCAGATCTCATCAGGACTCATTCCATTGTCTTCCTTTGTGGTCTAGCAAGGCTGCACCCCCTCCTCCCCCAGGGGGGAGGTGGTCAGAGAGCCTGTCTCTGAGTTCCTGCCAGAGACAGCCCCTGCTCCCCTTACTGGGACTGCACTTGGATCTGAGTCTAGGGTGGCAGATTACTTGGCTAAGGTGTTTGGACTTAGACTTAAATGTAATAGGGCATCACTTAAGAGGTTCAGTTGTGGTGACGGTGGATGGTGCTTTTCTCCTTTGAAGGAGAACTTCACTGCCAATGTGGGTGGTGTTTGGAAGTGAGGAATGACTGGAGGCAGAGCCCAGAACAGTGCTTTGAGTGTCTCTTGCCATCTGTTCTCAGTGCTTCTGCGGGTGGCTGTCCACTGCTTTCTGTACTGTAGTCCTTGTGGATGTGAAGGTGATCTGCTTTCTGTTGTTTGGTTTTATGGTATATATTTTAGTAGAGAATTTACACTCCTTATAGGTCTTTCATATGACAACGTGTGTGGGGAGGTCTTGTTTGGGCCCTGTTACTTTTATAGGTATCTGAGTACTCCTAATAGACCTAATAGGGAAGCCTATCATTTTAGGTTTCCCATCTTGGTGGGGATTCTATAGTCCTATATGAACTTTGTCCTTGTTTATTAACTTTTCCGCAGTAAATATCTTTTATGAACAGTTCTGCCTTTTTGTGGAGAGACCATCTTAGAAACTACCTACCTCTTGCTCACTTTGTGTTCGTTCCTTGTTCTTAGTTGAATGTATAAGTTGTTACCCTTGCAGAGCAAAGAGAAAGACAACCCAAAGCATATGGTGCTGCTCTTAGGAAACATTAGGTTGGGTAATAGAGATTGGAGAAGGGGGGCAAGAAGGGAGTGACCATTTCACAAAATTTTAGTAGTCATTAGGGCGATGCTTTCTAACTTAGACAATTATTGTCAACCAGGGATGTGCTTCAGCTATGTTTATATGTGCAGCATGTGGCTGGAGAGGACGTGAGTGTACACACACTTCCTGAGGCACTGCAGAAACTACGTGAATGACACTAAAGAAAAAGTGTGCTGGGAGAGAAGAGCTTTCTGTGTTTACAGTTGTGTATCTGAACATATGTAATGTTCCTGGTTTTCAGGTTGAGGATGTTTCTAGGTAATAAATGTCTTCTTGCTGATACCATGCAGCTTGACCACTGTAGGTGACTGCTGTTGTAGTATTTATATTTGCTGAGTTGGTGTGTTAGTCTTCACTGCTATAATTAAATAGTAAAATACAGTAATTACGTTAATGTATTAATTCAGATTTGAAATCTTCATCAGCATATATATATATATATATATATATATATATGTAATTTTCGTTTGCTGCCTTATACAATTAGAATTTAAAAATAGCTGTTGTTAGTCTAATTATTGGGCCTGGCATGTATGGCGTGCAAACTTTTCACTAGACATCTCCAAGGATTGCATAGAATACAGCGTATAGTATTGAAGTCTTACAGTTATGCTGATAATGTAGTTGTTCGCTTTCAAATAAAAAAAAAATTGTTCTTTTGTTCAGGCACAACCAGTTGGAGATTGTGATTTTAATATTCGTCTACAATGTATTGAACGTGAGATTATAAGTCCACGACATGAAAAAATGAAGACTGGGCTCATTGACAAAACACAGGAACCATTTAGTGTGAGACCTAAACAATTTTTTGACATCCATATCTCAAGAAAGGTACAATTTATTTATTTCTTCAGTTGGGAATTCAAGTTCCATTATTTAGCTTGTGAGAGGAATACGGATGACCTCTGCTCTGTTGCCTTGTCTTTCCTGGGGTGACGCCTAGGGTTTCCTCTTCAGCAGAGTTGTTAGTGTGGATATAACACCATGCTGGTTCCCTCTTCCTTAGAATAGTTTGGTGGTCCATATTCTCATTTAAAACAGAAAAAAAAAAAAAAAAAGTCACAACCCACATTCTGTCATTTAGAATGAACCCAGGAAGAAGAGAGGGGGGAAAAAAGAGGACAAGGAAAAAGAAAGGAGAGGAAAAGGAAGAAGGAAAGAAGGACTTAATCCAGCTTTGTTAACAGCCTCTTTATGTTGTTTAATCTAGTACAACCAGAACAGTGAAGGTGCAATGAGCTGCCAGGTTTTAGAGTTATGTGTGTAGTTAGGTGTAATTTTCACAGCAGTAGTGACAAGTACAGTTCCATCATTCTATTTACATCTTCAGTTTGAAGGTTAATTTAGACTGGAATTATGTGAATAGATTAAATATGATTGACAAAATTTTAAAAGCACACAGCAAAATTTATTTGCCATATCTACTCATTTTTGCATCGAGTCAAAAGTAATGGCTTCTGTTACTTTTTACTGTATTTAGAATTTGGTATAATATACAAACATATACTATTCATGGATTCATAGAGTTGCCATGCCTACTCAAGAGATGTATTCCTTATATAGTATATAAGTATATATAGTACAGTATAGTATAGTATAGAGATGACTCTTTATGTACTAGTCTGTATTTCTTGTTTTATTATTTAATTTTCAGCCTGACAGTCTATCTTGAGTCCTCTCACTCAGTGTTGTTACACGTGGCCCCTTTATTCTTTTATAAAGTTTTATTTTATTTTTGACACAAGGTTTTTCTCTGTTACCCTGACTGTCCTGGAACTCACTGTGTAGACCATGCTGGCCTCAAACTCAGAGATTGCCTGCCTCTGCCTCCCAAGTGCTGGGATTAAAGGTGTGCGCCACTACCTCTGGCTTTATATTGTTACTTTTGAGATTATATTTTAATACAATATTTTCCCTCCCCTTCTATCCGTGTGAACCATCCCATATACCCTTCCCCTACTCCTTCAAATTCATGAACTCATTTTTCATTAGCTGTTATTGAATGCATGTATGTTTTTGTATATAGACATACATTACCAAATATAACTTGATGACTCTATATAATGTTACTTATATATATGTTTTCAGGGTTGCCCATTTGGCACTGGACAACCAATGGGTGTGTTCTTCCCTGGGGAGGACCACCTCTCTAACTCCCAGGTTTACTTATTTGCCTGTAGCTCTTTGTACAGGGCTGAGGGCTTGTGCCCTTCCCTCTCCCTGTGCTTGCTTGTTGTTATTCAACTTGTTCAGCTCATGTGTGGGCAGTCATATTGGAGATGCCTACAGGTGTAGCTTCTGAAGTTACTAGGAGACAGAGTCTCACAGTAAAGTTCCTGATCCTCTGGCACTTAGAAACTTTCTCCCCCTCTTCTGCAGTGTTTCCTGAGCCTTGGGCACCAGGAATGTTTTGTAGGTGTCTTCATTGGGACTGGGCTCCACACTTTGCAATTAATTGGTTGTGGTTGTCTGTACTTTTTAGTTTTTGTTGCAAAGGAAAGTTTCCTTGAAGAGGGGTGAAGACTACACTTAAGTGTGAGTAAAAGGACAAATGTGTTTATAGAGTTGTTAGAGACTATGCTGGGTTAGTCAATTAGAGGTATAGGTGGGTTCTCCTCTAATAACCATGATTTTACTAGCACTGATGAGTTAACTAGATTTTTAGTACCAGGCATGGTATTCCTCTTGTTGAGCAGATCTTAAGTCTAATTACAGAGCTGTTGGTTACTGCCAAGGTACGTGTGCCATACCAGTGCACCCTTACGGTTATTGTACTATGCTGGTCATAGGTGTGGTTCATAGGTGCCATAGCTGTATGGGACTGTTGGTTACTTTTCTCCTTTGGAGCTTGCACGGCATCTTCTGGTCCCAGGAAAGCTAGTCCTCAGGGAGGAAGCATTCAAGTTAGTTCCACCTCAGGGGTCTGTTTCTGGAGTGCATGCCGTCTTCAGCAGTTGGAAGTTCTTTTCCATCTCTGGGTGGTTACCAAGGGCAACAGCAATAGGCTGTATGTTTTGAGACTCTCTTAGCCCTTCGTGGCCTTTGTTCTTTATACTCTCAAAGACTGCCATTTTATCTGTGTATTGCAATTGAAGCATGTTTCATAGTCATAAATACTTAAGTGTTTTTAGTGTTTTGATAGGGATCCTTAAAATTTTGTATCTATATGTCCAATTTTTAATGTTTGGAGTACTTTGGAGGTGTCATACAATGTAATTTGGTCATATTCCCCTCCATTTCCCATGCTCTCCCAGATCCACCCTGCTCTTTCTTACCACCCAACTTTGCTGTTTCTCATTCATTTGGGGATCCCTCAGATCATGGGGTATGCCGGCCACCTCAGTTACCCCAGTTAGATGCTATCTCAGAATGTGGAGGCTTGTTTCTAAATAATTCTGGATTCTGCCTATATGACAATCATAACATATTTTCTATGGCAGTTGCTTTCAGATTTTCTTTTTAGTTGAGATATACCAGATTTTTGTCAATTTAATTGTAATAATTCATGCTAGTGAAACAGCCGGTGGAGAGAATGTAAAAGCCATGTATACATATAAATAGCTAACTTTAATGACACAGTTCAATTATCATTGTTATTCAGTGCTAATTCATTAATTTTTAGAGAGGATAATGATGTTGATTTTGTGATGAGTAAGAAAGATAGTTTTCCATGCCAGTTAGTTACTGGTTAGAGGAACATTTGGCATAAGAGAAAGTGGATGGACTTAACTGGAGCTGGAATTTGACATGGGGAATAAAAAACAGAATACAAGAAAGGGAAGAAAGAATCTCAGGTGTAGAAGATACAATGGAAGAAATCGATGTATCTGTCAAAGAAAATGTTAAATCCAAAAAATTCCTGACACAGACCGTCCAAGAAATCCAGGACAATATGAAAAGACAAAACCTAAGAATAATAGGAATAGAGGAAAAAGAAGACTCCCTTCTCCAAGGCCCAGAAAATATTTTCAACAAAATCATTGAAGAAAATTTCCCCAAGTTAAAGGAGAAGCCAATAAGGATACATGAGGCCTACAGAACACCCAACAAATTGACCAGAAAAGAAAATCCTCCCGCCACATAATAATCAAAACAGTAAGTATACAGAACAAAGAAAAAATACTAAAAGCTGCAAGGGAAAAAGGCCAAGTAACATATAACGGCAAACCCATTAGAATCACACCTGACTTTTCAAGAGAAACTATGAAAGCCAGAAGGGCCTGGACAGATATCATGCAGACCCTAAGAGAACACAGATGTCAGCCCAGGCTACTATACCCTGCAAAACTCTCAGTCCTCATAGACGGAGAAAACAAGATATTCAATGACAAAAACAAATTTCAACAATACCTACACACAAATCCAGCATTACAGAAGACACTGGAAGGGAAAATACAACCCAAGAAAATTAGCTTCTGTCAAGAAAACACAGGAAATAATTAACCTTACTACAGTAAAACAAAAAGCAACCAAGCATACAACCTTATGAACACAGCCAACATCAAAATCAAAGGATCTAACAGCCACTGGTCATTAATCTCTCTCAACATCAATGGACTCAACTCTCCAGTAAAAAGACACAGATTAACAGAATGGATACGTAAACAAAACCCAGTAATCTGTTGCATACAAGAAACACACCTAAGGCACAAAGATAGACATTACCTGAGGGTAAAAGGTTGGAAGACGACTTTCCAAGCAAATGGACCCAAGAAACAAGCAGGAGTAGCCATTCTAATATCTGATAAAAAAGACTTTCAACCAAAATTAATAAAAAGAGATGAGGAAGGACACTTCATACTCATCAAGGGAAAATTCCACCAGGAAGACATCACAATCCTGAACATCTATGCCCCAAATACAAGAGCACCCACATTTGTAAAAGAAACATTGATAAAATTTAAACCACATATAGATCCCCACACATTAATAGTGGGAGACTTCAACACCCACTCTCAACAAAGGACAGGTCAACGAAACAGAAATTAAACAAAGAAACAATATCTCTGACAGAGGTCATGAATCAAATGGACCTCACAGACATCTACAGAACTTTACACCCAAACACAAAAGAATTTACCTTCTTCTCAGCACCTCATGGAACCTTCTCCAAAATAGACCATATAGTTGGTCACAAAGCAAGCCTCAACAGATACAAGAAGACTTAAATAATCCCTTGTATCCTGTCTGATCACCATGGAATAAAGCTGGACTTCAACAACAACAGAAATAGCAAAAAGCCTACACACACATGGAAACTGAACAACTTGTTACTAAATGACAGCTGGGTCAGGGAAGAAATAAAGAAAGAAATTAAAGTCTTTCTAGAACTCAACGAAAATGAAGACACAACATACCCAAACTTGTGGGACACAATGAAAGCAGTGCTAAGAGGAAAGTTCATAGCACTAAGTGCCTTCAAGAAGAAATTCGAGACAGCTCATTCAAGCATCTTAATGGCCCACTTAAAAACCCTAGAAAAAGAAGAAGCAGACACACCAAAAAGGAGTAGATGGCTGGAAATAATCAAACTCAGGGCTGAAATCAATCAATTAGAAAGAAATAAAACAATTCAAAGAATCAATGAAACCAAGAGCTGGTTCTTTGAGAAAATCAACAAGATCGACAAACCCTTAGCCAAGCTAACTAAAAGGCAGAGAGACACCACCCAAATCAACAAAATCAGAAATGAAAAGGGGGACATAACTACAGACACTGAGGAAATCAAAACAATCATTAGGACTTACTTCAAAAGTCTATATGCCACAAAATTTGAAAATCTAAATGAAATGGACAATTTTCTTGATCGATTTGACTTACCAAAGCTGAAT